GCTTTCAGCTCTCCCATGGTAGGGTTTGAGTACTCTGAATCGTTAACCACTTTTTCTAAACACACGCACACACACAAAAAAAAGCTCTGTGCTTACTCACTCTTTATACCACGGAGTTTCTCGCAATATTTACCAGAGTGAACTCTGGCGCTGCGATCGATCAGCCACCATGGAAATGGTGGGTGACTTGGAATGACACTGATTTGCCTTTAATCTTCGTGCTTGTGGTTTGGAACGCACGTGTGTCTCTGTTTGCTGTTGTGTTTTAGGGTTTAATATGAAAAAAAAAAACATGAACCGTTGTAAACTTTATGAACCCAGTTAAATTGGTGAGCCATAATAGTTAGGGTGATGAAATGGAACTGCTGAACATTTGCTGAACTTCGTTTTGCGACAAAGCGGCTGCAGGTGACGCCGTGCCAAACGAAGCCAAACAAACTAAGCTTAGACAAATCAGTGTATTAGCCATCATTACAACGCTGGCTGAAGCGTCATGCATTGCAGCTCCCATAGACACTATAGCGCCAGATTCCCCTCTAGTGTATTAGTAGGAAACTAAATGCTTTAGACAACCTACAAATGGGATTTTGCACCCATAGGCTCCACTGGTCACACACCTTCGCTGAGCGGAATGGTCCGAAATGTTTTGGAGGGTGGTATATAAATAGTAAATGGTTTTCGATAACTCTGACTACTACTATTATACCACATTGACAGGTGTTTAGCTCTTTTCGATGGGTGTTTAGTGTTTGGTCTCTGCAGGCCGGCTTCGAACACATGTCGATTAGTAAGGAGAAAGAAAGGTGGCGCATCCGCAACTCAACTCTGACGGGGCCTGGAAAGACGTAACAAGTTCGCACATTTCGTATAATGGTGCGGGACGTGAAAACACATGTAGTGACATTGACAGCGGGACAGGCAATGACTTATTCTATGTTTCATACACACCAAGCGTGAACTAACTGCCTCAGCAAACAGCAGCGACTTCTTTGCGCGTATGACTCCTCTTTCGCGAGTAGATTAACGACCCGGCGTAGTTACAACACCAGACGGAATCACCCAAGCAACTGCAGTGGTGACGTTGGACAAATGACGCTCCCAGACTATCGGCGGCGCCACGATTTTTATTTTACGACGTTCCCTTTACCATTGAGCTGCTCAAAATGCACCGTACATCCAGTCAAGGGTGTACATTTCTGTTGACTTGCTAAACGTTAGCGAGTACCTCAGAAAAGTCGCGACGGCTCCAGGTAGAGACACGGAGCACGTGTTACTCTTCGTTTGAGACAAAATCGGTCAGCAGATAAGTTTTCTTTGAGCATAGATTTGTTTAGTTAGTTAGTTAGTTAGTTAGTTATTAAGTTATTTTTATACATTTCGATGGTGTCGTTTGATATCTGCGTGTGTGTGTTCTTACACATGTGCGCTTCTATGTACTGCTCTTTGTTTTTCTTTTTTAACATATGTACGTTCCATATTCCCTCAAGAGCTAAGAAATAGCTGGTGCTTTTCTTCTGCGTCAACATCTCTTTATATATCTTATACTTTCTTTTAAGTGAGCTTGCAGTGCTAAACATTGACCGCGAAGTTATGGTGTGGATAGAAAATTACCGTTCAGGCCGCCAACAGTGCGTAGTATTAAATGACGAAAAATCGGGTTTTGTAAACATCACTTCAGGAGTGCCACAGGGTTCAGTCCTAGGACCATTTTAGTTTTTAATATATGGAAATGCATTTCCTCAGGAATCAATTCTAATATACGGTTCTTTTGTAGATGAATGTGTCTTGTACAGGAAAAATAGAAACGAGAGTAAGGTCGCCCTGCTCCAAAGTGACTTATCGCGCATTAAAAACTGTTGTTCTAGGTGAAAAATGACATTAAATGCCATTAAAGGTATTCATGTTACTTTCACGTGTAAAAAAAAACTAAGTTATCTTCAGAGTATGCAATCATCAATAGTATAGTAAAACAGAAACCCCCTTATAAATATTTAGGTGTAACTTTTGCAGCCGGCTGTTGATGGAATGCACACGTTCCTTCAGTTGTTGCGAAGGCCGCCAAGTCGCTAAATTTGATACAGCGCAGCCTGACACATGCGCCGGCATGTTTAAAATCAACGGCGTATTCAACATACATTCGACCTATGCTGGAATACGCTTGTTGATTGATTGATTGATTGATTGATTTTATTGATTGATATGTGACATTTAACGTCCCAAAATCACCATATGATTATGAGAGACGCCGTAGTGGAGGGCTCCGGAAATTTCGACCACCTGGGGTTCTTTAATTGAATACGCTTGCGCCGTGTAGAACCCCTGGCAAAGTACTTTAAGTGAAAACTCGAAACAATACAAAATAGAGCTGCAAGGTTTGTCCTAAGTTGGTACTCAAGAAATGACAGTTGCACCAATATAGAAAATGAGTTAGGATGGGAATCGCTCTCGGCGCGTCGGAAGAAACTGCGGCTAAAGCTCTTGTACCAAATATTTCATGGTGAAACCGGCATTCAAAAAGAAAATTACTTTCGCGATCTTCATTATCATTCTTTCCGAAATGATCATTGTTTCAAAAATCTTGAGTACCGTACCAGATCTAATTTGTATGCTAATTACTTTTTGCTCATTTCATTAGAGAATAGAATCACTTATATAAGGAACAAGTGTGCTGTATAAATGAGGATGTGTTTTTCTCAACATTGTAACCCCCCTGCTGCAGCGCCTTTGGGCTGAGCAGGGTAATCATTGAATAAAGAAAAAAAACCTCAATAAGAAAGTTAGTTAGTTAATGATTGATTGATTGATTTGTGGGGTTTAACGCTCAAAATCACCATATGATTATGAGAGACGCCGTAGTGGAGGGCTCCGGAAATTTCTACCACCTGGGGTTCTTCAACGTGCACCCAAATCTGAGCACACGGGCCTACAACATTTCCGCCTCCATCGGAAGTGCAGCCGCCGCCGCCGGGATTCGAACCCACGACCTGCGGGTCAGCAGCCGAGTACCTTAGCCACTAGACCACCGCGGCGGGGCAAGTTAGTTAGTTGGTTAGTTAGTTAGTTAGTTAGTTAGTTAGTTAGTTAGACTCATCTTTTCACTTCTACATGAATAAAGTGAAGGATTCTGGTTAAATAATGTGATAGTTGAGTCGTTGAGCGCGTGATAAGCATGCAGTTAGTGTACAGAAGCAAAATACCTTACCAGTCACTTGAATTACCCGTTTTGAAATGTAAGTCATGAACATTGCAAATGAAAAATGACGACTGTACTTCAACTCACTAGGTCGTACTCCACTACAGCGGCGCCAAACGCAGAAGTGTCTGACGTATACTCGGCGAAATGAGAATAAGAGGCCTATACTTTGAGAGTAATTGGAAGATGTGAGCAAATCGAGAAAAATCGTTCACTGCATTTAGAGTCGCAAATTGGGTCAAGGTCATTTAAATGGCCGGCTGTCATTCAACGGCTACAACGAATACGCGAATATAGTGTGTTAAAGGTGAGCTCCATATTTATGCACGCTTTCGAAACGTTCGATTCGTCAGCGACCCGAAAGCGTATCGACGCAGCTTCCTGGAGTGTATTTCGATACCACGCTGACGTGACGTACAGCTGTCGTGCGTATCTGCCGTCGAGCCGTGTATGGGCCAGTGGATTGTTGTGATGGAGAGCACGGAGCTTGCATGTGCATAAACGTTACACCCCGTAGCGCGTGCAGCGACAGTGCCGGATCGATGGAGACCCTATTACATAAGCATATCGACCATAATATTCGTCGCTGGTAAGGGGGGCAAAACCATCTTTTGCAGGGGACTGAAGTTCTGCTGGCTCGAACTGTCACAATAGTGGCTGGCCTGCCCTCACCACTTGACTTCTGCCAACAGCAGTCACCAGAGGAGTAGGCAGAATTTCCTTTTTTTTTTTTTCGCGGGGGAAGGGTGCGGGCATAAACGTGATTTGAAGTGGGGCCTGAACACGCAGGTGGAGTCCTGTGTCATTTTGTGCTCTGTATGCTATGATGAAAAAAATTTCGGGGTCACGGGAGGGGGGGGGGGGGGACCACGGGCCCGGGGTGAGTAATCGAACCCGTGACTTTTCACGTCCTGCAGCCGAACTCCGTAACCAATGTATAGCACGTCAACGTATAGGATTATTTTTTTCTTTTGTACGTGGCGCTAACAAGAGTAAATGTGAAAACGTAGTCAGCCGTGGTGGATCAGTGGTTGCGATGCTAAGCTGTTGACCGAGTTTAGGCCCGGCCACGACGGTCGCATTTCGGGGAAAACAAAATTGTGGAGTCCGCTGTGCTTTGCTGTGTGATATGAGAGCACGGTAAATAACACCTGAAGGTCGAAATTTCCGGTGCACTCCACTAAGGCGTCTCTCATAATGGTATCGGGCTTCTGGGACGTAAATCTTTATATAGTATTAGTGTGGAAAACGTACTGGCTTTTGCAAGCCTCTCTTTAACCGATGGACGTTTTCAGTCTATAATATGACTCCCCCCCCTCCCTATATTCTTGCTGCTGCCACCCATTCAGCTCAAAATTAATTTTCGCATCCCTCCACATTTGACCTCCAGTGCGTCATGTCGTAACGTCATCTGATGATGTCATCAGCTGAATACATGATTATATGTACGACTCGCGTTAACGATGATGCCGTACCCCTTCCTCCCTGAGTTACACAATGATTTTGCCCTAATAAAACAGGCATAAGAGGATACATTCGCCTCCACTGTGACAGTGGGCAGTGACGGGTGATTGCACTGAATTTACTACCCGTACTCCAAAGAAAAAGTGGACACGGCAGCACCGCCGTGACGATGTCGCCTTACGTGCCTCTACTTGTGCAGGTTTTGGCGTGGTTCTTCGCGGACGCAGCAGCGGCCCATGTTATCGCTGGACAACACTACCAATGGACCCCGATAAAGAATGCGCACCAGCCCTCGAAGGAACTCAACTACTGCGCAACTAGATCATCGCCAGTGGTGTCAACGATGCTGTGCCACGTGGACTTCGTCGACTGCGCACCCCCGTGGAGCACGATGACGTCCTCCGCCTCCCCGATAGCAAGCTGCCCGGAGCATATAAAAGCAAGGGCCATGGACTCGACCTTCAGTGGACACGGCAGCACCGCCGTGACGATGTCGCCTTACGTGCCTCTACTTGTGCAGGTTGGTGATCGAAAGTATGGTTTTCATAGTAACTGTACCTGCCTGATTGTGCTGCCGAGTCCACACACTGTTCTTGGTTGCTTAAATGACTGTGTTTCAGTTGTAAGCCTGTTACTGAAGTTGTCCGGTGACGTAGAGGAAAATCCTGGGCCCGAGGTTGAAAAAATGCTGGAGGAAATATTAAGTAACCAGAGTAAACTACTAGCAAAAGTTAATGAAATTCAGGCCAAGCAGACATCTACGGATGCCAGCATTTCCGACATGCATGTTAGGCTCCAGACTATTGAAAGACAACTTGAAGGGTTGGGTGAAACACAGAACCGGCTTACTATGATAGAATCAAGTGTTGGTCGCCATGACAGTGAATTGACGGCCCTTGCCAGGCAGATCGATGACTTAGATAATCGTTCTAGACGCAACAACCTTATTGTACGCGGAGTGGAAGAAGAAGAATCTGAGGATGAGGCAGTACTCTTAAGTAAGGTGAATGACGATATCTTTGACAAGTTACTTGGCTCAAAGTGTAGATCCATTGAGAGAATTCACCGTCTAGGAAAGAAAATACCTGAAAGAAGCCGTCCGGTCATCTTGAAAGTAGGAGACTTCAGGGACAAAACCAAAATACTGAAAAACTGCCGCAAGCTCAAGGGGACACAATTCAGTATCAGTGAAGATTACTCTAAACGAGTAGTTGAAATCAGAAACAACTATGGATTTCATCAGCGGATGAAGAGCAAAGGGAGCAAAGGTTAAACTAATCATCGATAAACTGAAAGTAAACAACGTTCTCTATGGCTGGAATGAGGCTACCAACGAGCGATTCAGGTATGCTAGCCCAGGTCTCACCAGCTCTGACTGACGCAAATCGAGACCAACAGCATCTGCGAAGGTTATTAATGTAAACGCCAGAAGTTTGCTGAATAAAGCTGATGCAGTTGAAGCCGCAATCCTGGAGCATGAACCGGATATAATGGTCGTAACAGAGACTTGGTTACATACGGATGTAGCAGATTTCGAAGTAACACCCACAGGTTATATAATTGTTAGAAAAGACCGGCAAGGAAGAGGTGGTGGTGTTGCGTTTCTTATTAAAGACAACATTAGGTTTTCAGTGTTGGATGATAATTGTGACATAGAAATGTTGTGGATATGGTGTGGGTTCAGCGAGCGAACTGTGTATATTGGAGGGATTTATAGAGCGCCGAATTCCTCTCAGGATATAATCGCAAAGCTAAGAAATTTTATGGATTCTAATTTTAGCCTCCAAGATAACGTATTATTATTAGGGGACTTCAATCTTCCGGATATTAATTGGCTATCCCAGTCTCCTGTATCGGAACAGGTCGCAAGTGCTGAGCAACTACTGGAGTTGGCATTCTGCTACGGGCTAACGCAAAGTGTCGCTGAATTTACTCGGATAGGGACTACAAGGTCATCTATCCTTGATTTGGTTTTTGTGTCCCCAAAGCTGTTGCCGTTACTCAGCCATTGTGAAGTTGTAGAAGGCCTGTCCGACCACAGAATGGTAGTAACACACCTAGCACTGTCCCCAGACACCTTGGGTAAACCCACACTTAGCACTGTATTGAATTTTATGGCGGCTGATGATGTGTCTATTTTGGACTATCTTGAAAGGTCCTTTGATGAATTTCAGGTCCTTTACAACACTGACTGCAGCACTGATAGGCTATGGCATTTCTTTTCAATTGTTGTACGGAAGTGCATAGACAGCTATGTACCCAGGATTAGAAAACGCATTTGTAAAACCAATCCCTGGATTACCAGAGAAATCATTCACACAAAAAGAAAACTAAAACGGAAACAAAAATCTTGTGCAAAAAATTGTACCCCTGAAGCAACAGCTTGCATTTCTTCAATGAGACAAGAACTGAAACGTCTGATCAAGCAGTCCAGGAATCGGTTTTTCAATGTGACATTGACGAAATACTTGAAGGAAGCCCCCTCAAGGTTTTGGCGCTTTATAACTCCCCCAGCAAGCTCCCCGCGGCCACCTGAAATTACTCAACAACGTGTTGATGATTTCAATTCTTTTTTTGCTTCTGTGTTTACTCATGATAATGGCATTTTGCCCGAGTTTTCTACGTCATCATTGCAGCGGCCGATCGATGATGTGGTAATTAGCGAAGAGGGTGTCCTAAATCTTTTACTTAATATAAATACAAGAAAAACCCCCGGACCTGATGGTATACCAAACGAATTTCTGTACAGATACGCTGAATGGGCGGCTCGCTTCCTTACAAAAATATTTCAGTCGTCCCTGCGCAGTGGCTCTTTCCCACTAGCGTGGAAGCGGGCTAAAATTACCCCTGTTCACAAAAGTGGCTCCCCACGGGACGAGCGCAACTACCGTCCTATTTCGCTTATCAGTACATGTTCAAAGATACTCGAGCACATTGTTAACAAACACCTGATGTCCTATCTTGATACGCACAATCTATTATTTTCGAAGCAGCATGGCTTCCGCCGAGGCTTATCTACAACTACACAGTTAATCGAATTTGTTCATGATCTTTCAAAAACAATCAATTTGCGTGGTCAAACTGATGTGGTATATTTGGATTTCGCAAAGGCATTTGATAAAGTGTCGCACTCAAAGCTCCTGTTTAAAATTGACAAAACGTTTCAAAATAATCACTTGACAAAATGGTTTTCATCCTATCTCAGCTGCCGTCAGCAGTTTGTTCAAATAAAAAATAAACAGTCTAGAGCAGTTGCAGTTAATTTCGGAGTTCCCCAGGGGAGCGTGCTGGGTCCCCTTTTATTTTTGTTATATATAAATGACCTACCAAACCGGGTTACGGTCCCGATAAGGTTGTTTGCCGATGACTGTGTTGTTTATAGCAGAATCGAGACTGAACATGACCAAGTTAATCTAAACAACAATCTTCAAAGAATAAAGGATTGGTGCGAAGAATGGCAAATGAGTTTGAACACAGAAAAAACAGTCTTTATGACTATAACTAGAAAGAAAGCACCTCTAGATTACAACTACCAAATTGGCAATGCTTTCCTTAAGCGTGTACAAAACTATAAATATCTTGGGTTATGGTTCACGCCCGACCTCCGGTGGAACACTCATATTGATAATGTATGCTCCAGGGCTACCAAGGCACTGTATAGCCTTAGACGTAATCTTTATACCGCCCCATCTGATATAAAGTGTCTTGCTTACAAAACCCTTGTCAGACCTATTATCGAATATTCTAAAATTGTCTGGGACCCTTACACAAAGACAAACTGCAATAAAATAGCAAAAATACAGCGACTTGGTGCGAGATTTATTTTTAATAAATATCGCCGACATCATTCACCTACTGAACTTTGTAAAAAAGCTGGACTGGATAGTCCTGAGTTTAGGACGAGGATTGAGCGTCTGAAATTCCTCTACCAGTTAATTCATAATCATTTTAAACTAAACTATTCAGATTACTTCCAGGTCAACACACAAGAACACTCCAGACATCGCCATAATATGTACATACCACCCCTAGTCCCACGTAACGATTGCTTTAAGTTTAGTTATTTTCTACGTGCTATTGAAGATTGGAATATGCTGCCAGAGTCTATAATTGGTTGTTCCTCGCTTACATCATTTGAACAGAATCTCAAACGTTTATTTCCTGAATAACAGTGATGTGCGTCTGTACTTTTTGTTGGTTGCATGAGACTGCAGTAGTTGTCTTTCAAATCTTTAGCGCGGTGCAAAAGTGCCGCCTCAAATGCGTCATGTGCTGTTCTGCGCGTATGTATTGCATTGCATGTGTGTTCCATTTTTTTGTTATGTATAACTTCGAGTTGCTGCTCACAATAATACCGAGAATTTATCTCGAGACCTGTACGGTACTTCTTTTTCGCGAATAATTGTTTGTACTTCCACCCTGTAACGGCCCACTTCTGGGCTAACAGTATAAATAAATGAAATGAAATGAAATGAAAAAGAAAGAGAAAGTTGACCAAATGAAGTAGCATTACCCAACGTCACGACGCGGACGCAAAAAAGCCTCACAGATGGCGGCACATTATCTAGCGTTGCTGTTTGCTTGATCAACGCTTCTGGGAAGGCATGATATGTTTTCCGCTGGATGGACATAGTTGTCCGTTTTTAGAGCTGTTTGAAAGTTCCTGTGTGTTTTTAGCGGTGATGGCTGCACTATGCCGACCTTTTTCAATGTAGTTTGATGGCCTGCCAAATGCGCCTACAAATCGCCGAATGGGCTCGTTTTAGTCGTGACACCTGTTGAAAAAAATGCGTTAAGGAGACTCCTTCCACTACATAAAACTTATGTAGTGTTTTTTTTTTTCTGAATTAGCTGCTAATAACACCGTGGATTTGTGGTAGGGCCCCTGCTTGCCACGCGAACGGCCGGGGTTCGATCCTCAATGGGACCGAAAATTTCATTTTTTTACTCTATTTGCTTCTTTGTCGATTTTTCACTCACGCACAATTTTTTCGCTCACAACCAACGGTATCGACGTCGACGGTGCAATTTCTGCGACACGAGCTCTCTAATGCTATCGCGTTGAAAAAAAAGGAACGGACCAAGACGCACTTCTCTGTCCGTGTCATCAACTTGGCGATACTGTTTCCCTATTCGTAACCAACTCTACCAAACTACCACCTCGACCAGTCGGTACGGGAACGTGCAAAAAATACACGTTGCCACAGTCGCCAAACTAGAAAAAAAAGCGTAATCGCTACACTAGTTATACGGCTTTTCGCCGTGTAAATGTACACTAACCGGATATCGCGCCGCCACGTTTCGTTTACCCCGCGATACTGTGGCTCCTTCTTTTCTTTCGAACTTTTTCTTTGTGGGGTGTGCGATATCGTAGGCACTAATGAATGACTTAATACAATTCTCTCATAGCTGCCAACTGTTAGAAGGTCAAAGGCAATAAAATAAAAAATGACAGAAACAAACTATGGTGATGCGAGCCACGCTTTCGCCTTTCCATTTGTCGCGGTTGTTTTGCGGCGGCCAGCACGCGAAGTGCACCGCTTAATGAAGTCACGCGACAGCAGCGCGCCGCATTTGCCAGAAAACGAGCGCGTGAAAATCGGAAACAGACAAAATCAAAAAGTCACCGCACACACACACACACACACACACACACACACACACACACACACACACACACACACACAAAGCCGTAGAGAACAGAAAAGCAAGGTTACAATTTTCGGCAAAACAAAAGCAAAGAAATAAAATCTGGGAACTGCGCGTACAAGGGGAATCGGGCAAAACGCGTGAAGGTTACGCGTTAGGAGCGAGTTTCGGGGCCCGGACGCTGCGCGCACTGCCGTAATCTTTTATTCATGCTGGCCCGTTTGGTACCGTGCTTGAATAACTGCTGCGTAGCGTATGTATAAGTGTATGTATATCCATCCTGTTTTTTTTTAGTTCTTCTTTCGCGTCAAAAATTGGCTTCCGAAGCACGTACCATTTTACCATTGCGTTCGCGCCTGTGACTTGCGATTGGTTGTTTTTTTTTTACTTTTTCGCAAGTGCGCCACACATATGCAGCTTTTTCTATATTTTTTAGTTGCCTTTACAAATAGACCCGCGCGAAAAGTTTTATTGAAATTCGTGGCTTTAGCTGCCTGTACATTGGATGTGGTCACGAGGCACGCATTTAGCTGAACCAACTTTGACATCGGGTTTTCTTTAACGTACGCCCGTGTATCTAAGTACACGGGCAGTATTGAATTTCCGAGCGGAATGTAAATGCTGCCGTCGAGGCGTAAAGTTGAACTTACTTAGAGCAGCACTTCTATGTTTGTTTGTTTCCTTGTTGTTGTTTTTCGCACGTGTCGTCTGAATGTTCTTTTCATGCACC